CCCAGCACTCGGGAGGCAGAGGCAGGCGGATCTCTGTGAGTTCAAGGCCAGCCTGATCTACATAGTGAGTTCCAGGACAGCTGGGGCTACAGGGAGACCCTGTCTCAAAAAAGACAAAAAAAAATTTAAATGATGGCTAAATTTGTTTTCTCTCCCTATTTAGAAGCCTTTGAGAGGGAATTGACACTGATTCTAGCCACTCCAACAGCTATCAAAATGCCTGAAAGCAAATCCTGAGTCCATCACTCTCAAGTTCAGCCCTGGCAGAAAAGAAAAAACTGAAAAATGAGCTAGTACCTTGGTACTAACCATTGCTCCCTGCCTCTTCAGATATTTTCAGGACCAAAATCCAAAAACTAACTCTTGTTCTCATACTAATTTTAATCAGTTGTTACTTTCCTTCCCTCCACATGTATACAAGCGCCTGTCAACCATCGAGGACCCTGTTGAGATGCATGAAGAGGGAACCCCTGCTGTCTGACCAACGCCTAATCCAGCCCCCTCCAACATCGACCCTGTCCAGTAGGAAGTAGTAAGATGACAACGGCACCCACATCCTATAACACAAAAGGCTAGAATGTTAGGGTTCAGATAGCCCTGCCCCCTCACCAACAGGGCATCACAGACTTCTCAAGCTCTTGAGAAAAGGGAACTGAGTTGATAAGCACCTTGGCCTTTGAAATCAAGAGAAAAAGACTTTTCTCCACTGTTTGGCCAACACAGCAGGCTTCCCCTTTGATCTCTAAAGAGGACAGGTCTTAACAGCCCCACTCTCCCATTGCCCCCCTCCTCCCAACTTTAAAAAAAATACATCTTTCCGCCTTCTGTGGGAAGCAGAAGCCTCCCCTTTTAAAAGACCCCAGCTCATGACCCAGGGCAGATATTTTCCCTGCCTGGAAGGGAATCTGTCCCATGTGTTCCTTTGCTAATAAACTCTGCTTTCTCCTGATCAATCCTATTCATCATATGGCTACTTTTTATCTATCAGCACCCATCAGGAGGGGGCTAGGAGCTGAACATAAAGGTCTAGGCTGAGCTCTGGGCCTCCAAATTTGGGCAGTGAATTTCATTTGGAAGTTTCTGGTAGCTGGAAGTTTGGTGTTTTCTCATTTATTTCCTAGGTGAAAACTGTAGGGCTGGCAAGATGGCTCAGTAGGTAAAGGTGCTTGCTGCTGAACCTGACCATCTGAGTTCAATCCTTGGGAGCCACATAGTAGAGGAAGAAAATTGACTCCCTCACCTTGTCTCTGACCTCCATTCACATGTCATGGCACGTGTGCACATGCCCACACACATACACAATAAATAAAAGAAGATGTATAAGCATCCCATTTGGTATCTGGCTCTGGCATTGACATCAGGCAACTCTGGAGTGGGTTAGGACTGGGGATAAGTTCTGGTGTTACCATCTAGGGTTCTTGATCCAATTCATTTTCTCCTCCAAGTAAAGAATTAAAAGGTAGGAAGAATCTCAGACATAGTAGGCCACAAATTTCATTGAAAGAAACACATACATCACACACTCACAGAAAGACTCTCCACATGTGGAGAGGGGATTTGGAAACCAAAATCCAAAGTGTCTAGGATAGCCTGGGTCTTTTTTTTTTTTTTTTTTTTTTTTTTTTTTTTTCGTCTTTTTGAGACAGGGTCTCCCTGTAGCCCCAGCTGTCCTGGAACTCACTATGTAGACCAGGCTGGCCTTGAACTCATAGAGATCCACCTGCCTCTGCCTCCTGAGTGCTGGGATTAAAGGCGTGCACCACCACGCCCAACTGGGCCTGGTTCTTTTAAGCATTCTTGGTGGTATAGGGCAGGTTCCCCTCCTCTAATTTTAGATTGGTCAATTTAAAGAAGAAAGCACTGATAGGCCCACAGCTCCAAGCTGAGATATGTCTAGGACCGGTGTTGTTGGATTTATCTAATCTGGTCTGAACTGGTCAGCAGAAGGGGGCCTTGCTGGAGAGAAAAAGCCTGTTGGGTCTTTGTCTCCTGAAGAAGAAGGTGGAAATTTGCCATCAGCAGTGCTCATCAGTGGCCATTTTCCTGTCTGGTCCCTCGCTGGGACAACTGGCACACATGCATCCCCTCTTTCAGAGGGCAGAGACGAGCAGCCTCCTGAACTGGGATTGTGGCTGTCACTGCTGTTTGGCTGAAAGCAGAGGTGAGAGACATGGGCAGGGGACATGGGTGCCCAGTCTGCCAGAGTCTGTTAAATGGGTCACTAAATTAAGTGACTTGATCTTCAGTGGCTGACATCTCGATGGGACAAAGTCAGTCATTAGCCCAGATTTCACTGTTCTGACTCTGTCCATCTGGAACCCTCAAGGGCTCAGCTGCAAAGCCAATTCTATATGGTCTCACCAGGCCCTGGTCTAATCATGGTGGGTCCAGAGAGTGTGCCCCAGGAGTAAAGGGGCCCACCCATCATTGGGCTAGAAGGAGGATGGTCACCTTGATGCTCCACTGGGGTCAGGGTGAGATGGGGCAGGGAAAGCACAAGCTGTTGACCTAGAATAATGCTTTATAAGGAAAGTCCTGGGGGTTTCCCACATGACTTCCCTTGATCTGAGACTCCTTCCTAATCTCTTCACTATGCTGTCCCTCTTATCTTGACTAGGAGTCCCTGTCTGACTTAAGGAACTTTCCTCTGACTCCCATTTCTCCTCCTTGATCCCAGCCTCTGCAGCCCTCAACTGCAGACCAGGAGCTACTTGTTGTGATGGAGGGGCACCTGCAACTATGTTGTAGGCTGGTGGTGGTGGTGATGGTGGGGGGTAGTGCCCTCAATCTGGGAGGGGTAAGGAAGCATCCTCATTGCCTCCTGACTACGGCCAGCAACTAGACATCCAACCCTTATCCCCAACAGTCACTGCAATGTAGGGGCACAGGGCTCAGGACACCTCCCAGCCTTGTAGGCAGAGGGGCAGGCTATGGAGATTGCCAGCTGTCAATCTTGAGTTCCATCAGTGAGCCGAGGCAGCGCTGGCTGCTGGGCCCACTCCCAAACTTTTACCCTCAGTGAGGCTGGGGTGGGGCCCAGAGAAGGTGCATTTCCCACAACTTCCCAGGTTGCTGGCTGGCTCTGCAGGACCACTCTGAGAACTGCTCAGCTTTCCAAGCCCAAGTCTGCCCCCTGCTGGCAAGTGACCTCTTAGGGCAAAGAAGTTGCTTTTCCAGTGTAAATTTCATCTCTAGAGGACAGAGAATGTACATCTAAAGAGAATGTACTCACCTCCCGGGGTGATTGTAAGTTTAAGTCAGATCATTTGAAGAAATTATCTATCACTGTTACTAGCACATAGTAAGTCTGGAAAGCAATTTTTTTTACATTTTTAAAATTATTTTTGCTTTATGTATATGAGTGTATTGCCTGCATGTATGTAAGTGCACAGATGTTGTGCAATGCCATGGAGGTCAGAAGAAGGCATTTGAGCCCCTGGAACTGGAGTTATGGATGGTTGTTAGCTGCCATGTGGGTCCTGGGAATCGAACCCAGGTCCTCTGCAAGAGCAGCCAGTACTCTTAACTGCTGAGCCATCTCTCCAGTCCCCAAAGCACTTTTTTAAAGACAGGGTTTCATATAGCTCAGGTTGGCCTAGAACTTACTACGCAGCCAAAGATGACCTTGAATTTCTGATTCTCCTGCCTCCACTTCCTAAATACTGGGATTACACGTGTGTATCACCATGCCTGGTTTTTGCTGTGCTGGGATCAGCCCAGGGTCTTGGGCATGCTGGGCAAGCACTCTCCAAACTGTTACATCCCCAGCCTAAGCGCCTGTATTTTTTTTTTAAATAACTTTATTATTTTTATTTTATGTGTATTCATGTATTGCCTGGATGTAGGTAAGTGCACCTGTGTTGTGCAATGCCTGCGGAGGTCAGAGGAGACTGTCAGATGCCCTGGGACTAGGGTTACAGACAGTTGTTAGCTGCCATGTGGGTGCTGGGATTTGAACCCGGGTCTTCTGCAAGAACAACCAGTGTTCTTAACTGCCGAGCCATCTCTCAAGCCCGCGCCTGTATTTTTTTTTATAAGCCTTATTATAGAGTTGTTTGATTTTTCTTTGTTTTTGTTTTTTGAGGCAGGGTCTCCCTGATGCCCCAGCTGGCTTGGAACTCCCTATGTAGACCAGGCTGGACTCCACCTCACTGAGCTCTATCTGCCTGCTTCTGCCTCCTGAGTGCTGGGATTAAAATTTTGCACCACCACACCCGGTATTAGAATACTATTTGATTTTTTTAAAACATGACCTCAGGACTGGGGATGTAGCTCAGTGGTAAAGTGCATGAAACCAGACCTTCTCTAGCCTCCAAGTGCGTACCTGATTGCACACACATAAACACACACACACACATGCACACACACAGTATTCATATATAATGCACATATACCATAGACACATAATTTTTTTATGTTATTTAAGATTTAATGCCATATGCAGGGCGTGGTGGCATGCGCCTTTAATTCCAGCATTCAGGAGGCAGAGGCAGAGGCAGAGGCAGGCAGATCTCTGTAAATTCGAGGCCAGCCTGGTCTCCATAGCAAATCCAGGCCAGCTGGGGCTACAGGGAGACCCTGTCTCAAAAAGACCAGAAAAAAAAAAAAAAAAAAAAAAAAAGGAAAATTGGGGCCAGCAAGATGGCTCAATGGGTAAAGCGCTTACAGGAAAGCCTAATGACCTGAGTTCAATTCCCAGAACCAGTACTGAAATATGGAGTATGAGGCACAGAAGAATGCCACATAGGAGTCCTTTATTAGCCAGCGATCAGAGAGGGGCTAACACCCCGAAGAACTGTCAACCCCAAGGGGAGGCAGAGTGGGGTTTATAAAGTCTAAAACCACAATTACATCATGCCAGGGGCAAAGCCAATAACTATAGTTAAATTAGATCACCATAGTTACACCAGACCAGAGGCAGATCAGTTAACGAAGAAAGTTTTCGGTTAACAAAAAAAGTTTTGTTTAGGAAAAACAAGTTTCTCACTACTGCAGAAACAATGAACTCCGTGGAGATGCAGGTTCGGCCAGGTAAGAGGACATGCTACCGGGCTAGTCGGAAAAACAACAGGTGCAGCCTTCATGCCCAGCTGGTTGCAGTAGCAGTGACTGGTAGAAAAACAGCGTAAAGTAAAAGTCAGCTAGAACAAAATGGCGTCAGCTTTGCTATTTCAATGTAAAAGCTGAAGAACTGATTCCACATAGCTGTCCTCCAAACTCCACACTTACTCTGCACACCCCCACCACACACATACACACACACACACACACACACACAACAACAACAACAACAATAATAATAATAATAAATCCTTTTTAAAATTTTTGTCTTTATGTAAAAAAAATTTTTTTTGTTTTTTTTTGAGACAGGGTCTCCCTGTAGCCCTAGCTGGCCTGGCACTCACTACATAGACCAGGCTGGCCTTGGTCTCACAGAGATCTGCCTGCCTCTGCCTTCCAAGTTCTGGGACAAAAGGCATGTGCCACCACACCCAGCTTATTTTCTTATTTTATGTGTATGAGTCTATTGATTGCATATAATTGTATGTAATTGTACCCATATCGTGCAATGCCCAAGGTCAGAAGAAGGTGTTGGATCCCCTGGAACTGCAGTTAGGACAGTTGATAGCTGCCATGTGGGTTCGGGGAATTGAACTTGGGTGGTCTGCAAGAGCAGTGCTCTTAAGCACTGAACCATCTCTCTAGTCCCTTTTTTTTTTTTTTTTTTTTTTTTTTTTTAAGGATCTTTTAAGCTAGTCATATGGTTATTCTACACAATGGCTCTTGGCTTGTCCTAAGCATACTTCTTTGACTAGTTCTGGCTAATCAGACACGAGAAGTGAGATGTACAGCATCTGTGCACCACCACGCCTGGCATTTATTTACTTATTTATTTATTTATTTATTTATCTATTTACTTATTTATTTTATGTGTATGAGTGTATTGCTTGCATGTAAATGCACCCGTGTCATACAATGCCCACAAAGGTTAGAAAAGGGCGTCAAATCCCTGGAACTGGAGTTGTGGACAGTTGTTAGTGCCACGTGGGTCCTCTGCAAGGGCAGCCAGTGCTCTTAACTGCCGAGCCCAAAGGAAATAAACGCCAGGGCTGTGGCTCAGTTGGTAGGGTGCTTGCCTACCATTCATATGACCCTGAGTTCATCCCCATCACTGAAAGAAAGGAAAAAAAAAAACAAATAACAGATTTTTGTCCTTGCTGACTGTTTAAACATGTGAACGTCTTCGAAAATTGCTGTGTGAGTCACAATGACCCCTCCCTTTCCTGAAGATGATACAACCTCTGTCTTCTAGGGAAGGAAGAAAGAACATTTAGCCTTTCAGCTCTCATGGCTGCCTATGCCAACAACACCTGTGTGGACATGACCCATGGCATGTTGGAGCCAGAACCAGAAGTCACTGCCCTGTTGTTTCTAAAAGCTCATGGTCCTTGTCCTTTGCCACAGGCCTATGTCCTAGGGGACAAATACTGTTGTTTGGTGTTGAAATTAGTCATATCTGACTCTCAGCCAAAACGAACTGAACCCAGCCAACCCGAACAAGAGATGTTGGGAAAATCCTTACTGCAGCTTAACCAGGTGGAAACTGACTAAAAAGCTTCCTACAGCAGCCTAGTGAATAAAGACGTGGTATGACTTTGGTGGGGATGCAGCTATTAAACTGAAAATTATGTTTTCAGTATTAACTTTTTTATATTTAAATCTGTACAGCTATTAAAATTGTGTGTAAGGATATAACAAATTAGCCGGGCATGGTGGCACATGCCTTTAGTCCCAGCACTTGGGAGGCAGAGGCAGGCGGATCTCTGTGAGTTCAAGGCAGCCTGGTCTACATATCAAGTTCCAGGTCAGCTGGGGCTAAAGAAAAACCCTGTCTAAAAAAGACCAAAAATAAAAAGTGCCCTTTTGCCCCTGCATGGGAAACTAAGGCACAAAATATGATTTGGGGGTTTTTTTGGTCTTTTTGTCTTGTTTTGTTTTGTTTTTTTGAGACAGGGTCTCCTTTTAGCCCCAGCTGTCCTGGAACTCATTATGTAGACCAGGCTGGCCTCGAACTCACAAAGATCTGCCTGCCTCTGCCTCCCAAGTGCTGGAATTAAACTTGTGTGCCACCACGCCTGGCTTTTTTTGTCCTTTTTAAGACAGGGTCTCCCTATAGCCCCAGTTGGCCTGGAACTCACAGAGATATGTCTGCCTCTTGCCTCCCAAATGCTGGGATTAAAGGCATATATCATCACCACACCCTGCCTTCAAAATATGATTTCTTAAAAGGAAACAATATTGCCTGGCATAGTGGTGGCACACACCTTTAGTCCCAGTGCTTGGGAGGCAGAGGCAGTCGGATCTCTGTGACATTGAGGCCAGCCTGGTCTACATAGCAAGTTCCAGGGAAACTCAGTGGTTAAGCACACTGGCTGCTCTTCCAGAGGAACTGGGTTCTGTTCCCAGCACCTATATGGCAAGTAACAATCATCTGTAACTCCAGTTCCAGAGGCTCTGACACCCTCTTCTGACCTCTGCAGGCACTGCATGACATGAATGCACTTACATGCAGGCAATACACAAATTTTTAAAAAATACGTAAAGTTAAAAAAATTAATTTTTTTGGTCTTTTTGAGACAGGGTCTCCCTGTAGCCCCAGCTGGCCTGGAACTCACTTTGTAAACCAGTCTGGCCTTGAACTCACAGAGATTTGCCTACCTCTGCCTCCCAAGTGCTGGAAAAAAAAATTTTTTTTAAATAATAAAATAGGGGCTAGAGAGATGGCTCAGCGGTTAAGAACACTGGCTGTTCTTGCAGAAGACCCGGGTTCAAATCCCAGCACCCACATGGCAGCTAACAACTGTCCTTAACTCCGACAGCCTCTTCCGTCCTCCAAGGGCATTGTATGACACAGGTGTACTTACCTACATGCAGGCAATACACACAAAATAAAAATAATAAATAAAATTTTAAAAATAATAAAATAAAAAAAAATAGGTTTGCCGAAAAAAATATTTTAAAGAGTTCTACTTTCTTTAAAACAAAAAAAGAAAGAAAGACATAAATCTTGTGCTGGGCTTGTTGGTCTATGCCTATAATCCCAGCACTTGGGAATCAGAGGCAGGCAGATCTCTGTGCAATAGAGGCCAGTTTGGTCTACATAGAGAGTTCCAGGCCAGCTGGAGCTATCTCAAAATAAATAATACTATATCTTGTATAGATATTGATTGAAGTGTGGTAATTTGGAGAGTAATTTTATCTAGAAAAGGGAATTGGGGGGAAACAGATACAGGGTCCTCTTGGACATTTTCCCATTGTTCCTGTTAGCCTTCCAATGGTGTCATAGTTTAGAAAAGTTATACTATACAAGTATGTCTAAAGAGCCTGGAGTTACCTAGCCATTGACACACACATGTAATATCAGCACCCTGTGGACTAAGGCATGCATATAATCCCAACACTCAGGAGGCTGAGGCAGAAGGATCTGGAATTTGAGGCCAGCCTGGACTAAATGAGACCTTGTCTCAAAAACCAAAACCAAGGAAGGAAGGAAAGAAAGGAGAGAGGGAGGAAGGGAGGGAGGGAGGGAGGGAGGGAAGGAGGAAAGAAGGGGAAGGGAAAGGGAGGAAAGGGAGCAAAGAGAAGGATGGGAGAGAAGGGGGAGCCTATTGTTCTGAGGTAGGGTCTCTCCCTGAGGCTGGTTTCCTTGACGAGGCTGGAAGCCTGGGAGTCCCAGCAATTTTCCAATTTCCTCTCTGCTCAGAGTTGAGGTTATAGGTGTCACAGGACACCAAGCTTGTTATGCAGGTGCTGGGATTTGAACTCTAGTGCTCATGATTGCACAGCAAGCTCTCTTAACCACTGAGCCACCTCTCTAGCCTCTGTGTTTTTTGAGACAGGGTCTCATATAGCCCAGGCTGGCCTTGAACTTGCTATGTGATCAAGGTTGACTTAGAACTCCTAATCTCCCTGCCTCCTGCTAAATTCTGGGTAACAGGTATGCATCACCACACCCAGCTGACCTTCAGCATTTTAAATATGTTGATGGGACTCCCAAAATAAAATTGCCCTAGAAGGTACGGTGGTTACTAATGATCCATGTTGTCTTGCCACTAGACGTCTTGTGGAGTGACAATGAAGAGGCAGCATTTGGGGCCGGGGTGAATGAGAAACAGCATAAACTTCATCCCCATCCTGCACTGAAGAGTCTAGGACTCAGACAGCCCAGAGAAGGAGCAACCATTGGTAGAAATAAATGCTCAGCTTTTCTGAAATGCCACAGAACCAGCACTAGGGGGCAGAAGAGAGCTGAAACAGCATGGGGCGGGCACCTGGAGTGCTCCCGACTTCCCCAGCCCCTTACAACCCTGCCACCAAGACTGTCCCAACTGGATTCAGAAGATGCCATTTATCCAAAAGAAATGCAACTAAAAGTAGCTTCACCAATTCCTTCCAATGAATATTTATTATTTTTATTTTATGAGTGTATTGCCTGCATGTATGCCAAATGCACTCATGTAGTGCAATGCCTCTGAAGGTCAGAAGAGGGTGTCAGATTGCCCTGGAAGTGTAGTTATGGGTGGTTGTTAGCTGCCATGTGGGTGATGGGAATTGAATCCAATCCTCTGCAAGAGCATCCAGTGCTCTTAACCACTGAGCCACTTCTCCAGCCTATTATTATTATTATATTATTTTGTATGTGTATTGCCTGCATGCATGTAAGTGCACCAGTGTTGTGCAATGCCCAAGAAGGTCAGAAGAGAGAGTCAGATTCCCTGAAGCTGGAGTTACAGGCCATTATGAGCTGCCCAACAAGGGTGCTGGGAACCAAACTTGGTCCTTTGCAAGAGAAGCAAGTGCTCTTAACCACTGAGCCATCTCTCCAGTTCCTACAACATATTTTTGATGCCTGTAATCCCAGCAATCAGGAGACTAAAGCAACCAGATTACTATGAGTTTAAGGCCAGCTGGGCTACATAGTGAGACAGTCTCAAAAAACAAACAAACAAAAAAAAAACAGGCTGGAGAGA